TGGTCCTCGATGAGAGAAGACATCCGATTATCTATGGGAGAAGACAGTCTGGTATTCTGTAAGATATTCAAGCCTTCTATGAGAGTAGACATACTGATATTCCATGAAAGCACACCTTCCGGTCCACAATGAGAGAAGACCTTTTGGCCTTAAATAGGAAAAGGCCTTCTGATCTTCTATGGGAGAACTTTATTTTTTTTTCTGAGGTCTTCTGTCAGAGAAGACCTTTGGCTCTTCTGTGTCTGGTCTGGTCTTCTATGAGGCAATTTTGTCTGCGGTAAGAGAGAGGAAATTCGGGTATTCTGTGATAGAGAACCTTGTGGGGTTTCCTTAGACAAGACCTTCTAGTCTTCTGTGGTAGAAGTACTTCGTATTTTCTGTAAAAGAAGGCCTTCGGGATTTATTTGAGAGAAGACCTTCAGGGTCCTATGGGAACCTGGGTTTTCGTTAAGAGAAGATTTTGAGAAAAGGTCCTCTGATCTATAAAATAATACATTTTTGTCTTTTGTGAGACAAGACCTTTGTATTTTCTGCAAAAGGAGATCTTTGAGTCTTCTGCGAAAATAATCCTCTAATTTTCTAAGAGAATGAGACGATACTTTTTGCCTAACCTTCTTGAATGTGTTTTTTTTTTTCATAGAGAAAAGCATACTAATATTTTATAAGAGAAGAAAGTCTTCTGTGAGATAAAACCTTCTGGTATTCCAGGAGAGCAAACCCTCTATGTAAGAATGTTATTTGGTCTTCTATTAATAAAAATTTTGAGGTCTTTTTGAAGAAGATATACTAGTTTTCTCGGAAATTATGTGGATTTAAGAAAATGTTCTGGTATTCTATAAAGGAAAGGAAGACAATCAGGATTTCCACGAAGGAAGTCCCTTTGTAACAAATATTTTGGGGAAAAAATCTATATGTCTGCTCCGAAGAAGATATTCTAGTTTTCTCCGGAAAAATATCGTCTGCAGTTCTATAAAATAGGGCCTCCAATGTGGTTTTCTCCCGGTTTACTGCGAAAGCGACGAAGACAATTTGGATATTTGGATATCTATGAAGGAAGTCCGTTTGTAACAAATATTTTATGGGAACCATTTAGGGATTCTTCGAAGTAAGATCCTTTGGTCTGTTTTAAAAACAGATTTTCGTTTCATTTATTCCCGCATTTAACACCTCCGCAAATTTTGGCAATTCAATATTAAATATCTCCTATTGCTATTAAAGCTCTCTTTCCAAGAATCCGAGATTCAAACCAGCGGCCTTGGATTTACACAAAAAAAATCTCATTACCAAATAATGGGTTTATTGAGTACATTTTTCAAAACAGCATCCTAGCCCCTGTATTTCAAACATGTCTTAAAAAGTAGATTTTTGATTTTTTTTGTTACCAGAAAATTGTCTATGCGGGTCAATGTTTTCGATAGGCCCCATGTAACAGGAAATGAGTAAAAATACGGCCTACGTGCACCTTCACTTCCTTTGTCTTTCCTCTTCAGTTTTTTTATTAAATATTCGGTAATCATTTCTTTGTAAATACTGAATCATCGTCATTTTGGTGTGGTTGATTGGGATCCCAATATATTTTATGAATGTATTGCAACAGCACAAGGAACCAGTTCCAGTTAATGTTTACAATCAATGAGTGTTTTTTTTTTTTTTTTTTGTTTGGCACAACAAATTATTTAAACAAATATTACTTTGTATCGCTCTGACGACCTTGAACGTTTTTAGGCATCACTTTAGGTGGTGGTAAATTCGGTGAAATTTATTAAAACGCAGCGCATGAATTGCACTTTTTGTTTGGACAAATATTTATAAATGTCGATTTTTGTTTTGTTTGTAAGTGTAAATGAGGCCAAGTTTATGGAAATTGTCTTTTCTTTTTTAATTTTTATAAAGTTGATCCTTTCTAGGAAAGGAATATTGACAATGGTACCGGCAAAGTCGCAAATCTCATAGATCTTCACAATTTTGCTTTTTATAATCCAATAAAAAATCTTCACCTCATCTTTAGTCACTTGGATGGCATTCGCATTTTCCATTATGACTAGCTTAACACAACGTGATTATTTACTATCAAAAATAGTCATTTTTATTTTGCAATTGCACTTCGCTGTCATCTCATCTTCTTCAGATGAACTAGAATCAACCGCTACTGCTGCCTTGTCTTGCCTTGCCAAACCATAGATTCATCCGTAAGTTTTGAGTCAGTCATATGGAGAGTGTGATTTATTTCTAGGGGGAAAGAGAGATAAGAATGACATCAGCAGATGGACGACGACGACGACGGTGATCAGACTATATACAGCATTTTAATTTGGAATAAAATAATAAACCCAATGAGGTCAGAGGCTCGGTCGATTCATTACAATTTTATTTTCTGTTATCAATCGGCTGTAACTAATTATAAAATATTATCATTTGTGAGGATAATGAGGAGGGGTTGGGCGGAGGATGAGAGGGTATTACACTGTTGCAAAGGTTAGGTTGAAGAAGTGGTAATAAGATAGAATGAAAGATCCAATTACAAATGATGTTAGGGTCAAATGTAAAGCGATTTTTTTCTACGCTATTAGCTGTAGCATTTTTATAGCATACTTTTAGGCGCAACACAGGATTTTTAACCCACAAAGAAATCCTATATAAGCATAAATTAATATTAATATATAAAAAGTGAAGAATAAATAAAATAAAATAAAATGCAGGGCTAGACCATCACTACCAATACAAAAGCTTTGATGTTTCATGGACATAAACATCGGAGAGTAGCTCTTGCTCTCTCTGTAAAAATTGTGAGTGCTAATTCTTTGCGAAGTTGAAAATCGTGAAATTATTAAATGACACGACTCTCCCTTTTCATCGAAAACTGAACAGCTAACAACTGTCTGCAAAGCACATTTGTTTTTGATAAACAAGCGAGCAGTTCCAGTGGTGAGTTTACTCATCTGCGAGTGAGTTTTATCAGCGGTGCTCAAAACCGTTTTCTAGAACATGAACAGAAAAAAGAGATAATTTAAGAGAAAAATAAAATTCTGTTTTTCTTTATATTTTACGGTTCTATTTAATTGTTTTTAAACACGAATATTTTCCAAAATAATTTATAAAGGAAATGGATAAAAAATAGTTGTATAAATAATGACTTAAAACTGTTTTGTTCTTGATTTAAAAAAGCAAAGAGAAATTTGACTGAAAAGAGATATTTCTTTTTGAGCACCGCTGGTTTTATACACAAAATTATGATTGCGTGTGAGGTATGGTGAATTGCCAATGGTTTTTCAAAAGACATAATAAATTAAAAAAAACAACATAAAATTCAGAAAAAAGAACGTGAAATCTTTACCTGAACTACTGATCTTTATCTGAGAACGGTCCATAAAATGGACCATACACTTAATCCAATTTCGGCATACTCTTTCCAACATTCGGCTGGTATCTCATGGATACAGAGTGAGATAAAAAAACCTGCAACAAAATCAAACGCTGCATTTTTTTCATTTTTTTTAATTTTTTTGAATGAAAGGAAAAAAGTCGGAAATAGCATCAACATTTAGAATTTAACTTGGGTAAAAAATGTTTTTTGTCATAGAAGTTATTTTTAAAAATAACTTCTGGGGAGAATATCCCAGGCAAAAATTAAGGGAACTCATGAGGATTGATGGCTCTTTCCGAAACCTAGGTATTCCCTGTCGTATTGGTCACCTTTAAAACGACTTATGGACTTAAAACGGTCAATGAAACCGTCACACCTTGCCAGAATGTTGTTCTTCGACATTTTGGCCCATTCCCGGCGAAGTGCTTGCTTGAGGTTATCGACACTTTGGTATTTTTTTGTGCCAACCTTGCTTTCCAAAATACTCCAGACACAATAGTCCAACGGATTGGTATCCGGAAATTTTAGCGGTCATTGTGTGCTGGAAATGAAGCGAGGAACCTCATTTAGTAACCATTCTTAAGTGGCACGTGCTGAGTGCGATGGTGCTAAATCCTGTTAGAATGTCCAAGGTCTGCGGCCAAAATGTTTGCGTGCCCAAAGGCTTTAATACACCCTCCAGAATATTTTTGCTTTAATAATCGGCATTTATTCTGATGCTACGATCGATTAATACGAGCGGAAAGCGACCATCGGCTGTTATGGCGGCCCACACTATCACCATGGCAGGCGCTTGAGTTCTGGTGGCCAATCGAAGGTGCACATTTTCAGCTGACCTCTTTGGCAAGTAAACACGATAATTTTGTTTGTTTACAAACTGCCGAACAACGAACGTTTTCTCATCAGAGAAAACCAAATTTGGCATTTCACCACTTTCGGCTATGCGAAGCAACTCTTTAGCTCGTTTGAGTCTGTTTTCTTTCTGTTGCGGTATAAGTTCTTGCACTTTTTGGAATTTCAATTGCTTTACCCCGAGCTCATTTTTCAATATTTGCCGAATGGAATATTGCAATATGTTCAGCTCACGAACCATTTTTCGGCCCCTGCGACGCGGATTTCGATCAAGAAGTCGCTTCTTTACTTTTCGAACCATTTCTGCTGATGTTGCTGTTTTCTTCCGTCCACTTCCTTGACGTCGGGCTATGCTACCATTATCACGGTAACGTGCTATGCCACAAAAAATTTATTCACATTTAAATGCTAGAGTTCTCTAACGATATCCACTTGTGGTTTTCCAGCCAAATATAACGAAATCACACTATCACGCTTGAATTCCATCACGAATAACTTTGTTTCTGGAAAATTCTCCCCAAAATGCTTTTATACGCTTGTAAACAATATAATGTGCTGTCACTGGAATTATTTTAACAGCTATCGGACGAGTGGCTTAGAAATGACAGCAGTCTGAATTTGGTTGCAATTTTTTCATCTCACTCTGTATCTGTATAGTCTCCTTAACTAATCACTATTTGTTACTAATAATGCCTCCGAAAAACCCCAATTCTCCTATTTTCTACTTCCTCTCGAAAGCTTACACACAGCTTATTCATTTCGTTTTCTCTTCATTTTGTTCCAGATTCAACCCCAAGCTGTAAGTAAAATTTGAAGATCAATTTTTTGGTATCGAACTGTAATATATCCGCATCTTGTCTTCCATATATCCCCGCCAAAGACCCACTTCTCTCATAGCATTGTCAGATCTGTATGTTGTGTGTGTACCTACATTTGTGCCGTTTGCATTAGATATATTAATTGACATACAAAAAAAAAAAAGAAGAAAACTCACATGGAAAACTCCAAGGAAAAGATCAGAGACGCTTATGGCAATCGTCAAGATAGGAGGTGAAATAATTTAAATAACAAAAAAAAAAAAAAAAAACATAAAAAGTGCCAGTCGCTTTTGCCGACAGATGAACGCTTGGCACTGAATTATGATGACAAATTCCATTGACAAATATGCTTAAAATCTTCAAATGTAGAAAATCGGAAGGGAAATACAAAAAAACATACCAATAAACAAGTTAAAAAGTATCAGTCGGTTTTCCTGACGGATAAACATATTTTGCCATCCGTATTTATTATTCATCATGTTGAGCCTTTTATTGGGGACGTTCCGAAGGAGTTGGCCAATATTATCCAACTGCTGATATAAATATTATAACGTGCCATATATGGACTATATTACTTGATTTGAGATACGGCATAATTTTTAGAGGATGGTGAAATATGCGTGAGGGCCAGATATAGTGGATGCAAGTATTCCACTTCATCTAATATCAATAAAAATATTTGGATCTGCAACATATAAAGATGATCTAATTTTATTTCAATTTAAGATGATCTATTCTATGCGAATAATTTCAACATTTTATTATTATTTTTTTTTTTTTGTGAGGGAGGAGGTATCGGATGGAGTGGGCAGACAAATTCAGTCACATCTCTCGATGAGGGAAATATTAAGACTTGTTTCGTAGGTTATCAGAGATTTAAGTATTTAAAATTGTGGTCGTTTGTGGGGGTGGTACCCGAAGGTGTGGTCCGATCTCTGCCATCTTTATAACAGATCTTGTGTTGATCGAAATATTGAAATGTGCCAAGTCCGAATGGAATTTGATGTTAATTTCGTGTTTTATAGCCTTCATAAATATTCAAAATTTTGAACCTTTGTGGAGGATTTACCAGTGGGAGTGGACCGATATTGTCCGTTTTCGCACATGTCCTAGCACTGGTGCAAATATTAGGATTTACAAAGTTGGAGCAAAATCTGATTATCTTTTCCCTGTCTGTGAAACAAAATATTTATACCCTACACCACAAGGTGGTCAGGGTATTATGTCTTTGTGCATTCGTTTGTAACAGGCAAAAGGAAACGAGATAGACCCATAGTTCCTTTTGATGATCTGCATAGAATCACATTCTGAGTCGATTTATGCATTTCCGTCCGTCCGTCTGTCCATGTATTTTTGTAAACAAAGTACAGTTCGCATTTATTGCCCTATCCAGATAAAATTTTGCACAAATCATTTTTTTGGCCCAAGGACGAACCCTATTGAAATTAGAGATAATCGGTCAAAATTTAGATATAGCTCCCATATATATCTTCGTCCGATTTACCTTTTATTGTGCACCAAACGTGTAATATCAGCCAGAATTGTCTGGAATTTTGCATAGTCCTGAAAATAAGTATGCCAAATTTGATCGAAATCGGTTCAGATATAGCTATAGCCCCCATATATATTGTTCATCCGATTTGTTATTTTTGTCTTCCGCAGCCGCAGTAATATGCACTCTGCAACAACAATATTTGGGGAAATATATCAAATACAGCTCAGAAATACCTTTGCTAAATTTTATCGAGATCGGTTTAGATTTGAATTTAGCTCCCATATATAACTTCGTCCGATTTACCCTATATTGTGCACCAAACGTCTAATATTTGTCCAAATGGGATGGAATTTGGCACTTACGACCGAATTGAGTCTAGAAGCTATTATATCAATTTTGGTGAAGATCGGTTCAGATATAGCTATAGCTTCCATATATATTGTTCAACCGATTTGTTATATTTGTTACCCACAACCGTAATATGCACTCCGTAACAACGATATTCAGGGAAATATATCAAATACAGCTCAGAAAAATCTTTGCCAAATTTTATCGAGATCGGTTCAGATTTGGATATAGCTCCCATATATATTTTTATCCGATTTCAAATTAATTGTGCACCAAATGGGCAATACAAGTCCGAATTTAAAAGATACAAATACTTCGGCATAGCTTTAAATTATAATTATAATCATAGCGGTATGATTGAATTCTCCCATAAAAATTTTTAATTGTTATGCGGAGCTCTACTAAATTAGCAAAGTGGTGTAGGGTATCATAAAGTCGGCCCCGCCCGACTTTAAGACTTTCTTTACTGTTTTTTTTTTTTATTTTGACCTTTTGTGGCGGAGATACCAGAAGGAGTAGACTGATATTGTCCATCTCCAAACTCGATCTAGTTTTGATATTACTATGTATCAGGTATGAACCAAATCGGCATCGCTAGATCGACTCCAAATGTCCTGAAACGGATTTGGTTCAAAGAGACTTAGGGTCTAATATCGTTATTTCGATGAGGCACATTTTGGCTGTATCAAATGACATATACCCTCTCTAGCCATAGGTTTGAACCAAATCGGCATCTCTAGATCGACTCCAAATGTCCTGAAACGGATTTGGTCCAAAGAGACTCAGGGTCTAATATCGTTATTTCGATGAGGCACATTTTGGCCGTATCAAATGACATATACCCTCTCTAGCCATATGACTGAGGGCATAATTAGTGTAGAAAACTGACTTAGTCAATTCTAATCCCAACTCCTATGACAAATGTGGTCAAATCCTTTAAAAGTGCCTAGAGTTGGACGAAATCATTAAAGGTGGGATGGGTAGGCTTTACATTGAATGATTTCGATTTTTTTTATGTACGCAGCGCCGAACACCAAATTGTGACCGATACAGAACAAAATTGTGGTCATCTATATCAATCCTTTCAAAAATACTGAGACAGCCAGAAGGAGACACGTAAATCGGGTCTTAGAATTTTACGTTGATCAGGGTAAGATTGCAAGCCAATGTTATTTTTTCTCATCGTTAACTGAATTTTTTATATCCTCCACCATTTTATGGAGGATATATTAACTTTGTTATTCCGTTTGTAGCTTCTCGAAATATTCTTAATATACCTTACAATGTATATATATTCTGGATCAGCATAAAATTCTAAGACGCTTTAGCGATGTCCGTCGGTCTGTCTGTTGTAGTCACGCTATCTTTCAAACGAATTGAGATAGAAGACTAACATTTTGCATACATGCATAGTTTACCAGTAGGCAGGTTATATTTGTAAATGGTCTATGTTTGTCCACTTTTTCGTATAGCTCCCATATAACGGTACCTCCCGATATTCGGTATTTTTGTGACTTTAGTAATATTATTATCCGGAATCGTTTAAAATTTCGTACTGTAAGATCCTAAAGGGTACTACAACATATGCCAAAAATGGTTGATTGCAGGTTCAGATCTTCGTATAACGGTACCTCCCGATATTCGGTATTTTCATGCTTTTACCGGAATTATTTCGAATTTCGTATTTGAAGTTCGTAATGGGTACTACAGCCTATGACAAACATTTTTATATGCAGGTCCACGTCTTCGTATAGCCCCCATATAACGGTTTTAACCCGATAGTCAGTATTTTTGAAAAATTCGGGTTCAGATCTTCGTGTAGCCCCCATATAACGGTACCTCCCGATATTCGGTATTTTCATGCTTTTACCGGAATTATTTCGAATTTCGTATTTGAAGTTCGTAATGGGTACTACAGCCTATGACAAAAATTTTTATATGCAGGTCCACGTCTTCGTATAGCCCCCATATAACGGTATAACCCGATAGTCAGTATTTTGACGATTTCAGCAATATTTTTCACCGGAATTGTTTCAAATGTCGTATTAAAAGATCTTAATGCCAAAAAAATTCGTATGCAGGTCCACATCTTCGTATAGCCTCTATATGACGGTACCTCTCGATACTCCGTATTTTCATGATTTTTGCGACATTATTCACCGAAATTGTAACCAATTTCGTATTTGAAGTTCGTAATGGGCACTACAGCCTATGACCAAAAATTTCGTATGCCGGTTCACGTCTTCGTATAGTCCCCATATAACGGGTTTCATTTAAGTGGTAGTTTTCGGAATTTTTTTTTGAAATTTTTCAATTTCCTTCGAAATGGTGGAGGGTATTAAAAGTTTGCCCTAGCCGAACTTAGCTACTTATTTAATTGTTCACTCATTGGGAATATGGTCGGCTTTATTTTTTATTTGTTATTATTTTTGTGTTTTTTTGTCTGTTTTAATTAATTATTCACTATTTTTGTTTGTTTTCATATTATTTTGCTTGCAAATCCAAATCCTATCAAAAAACCCCCATTTTCTTCTTCATTTTTAAGGGCGTGATGTTCTGTACCAAATAAGAAATCGAAATAATAACAATAACAATACAAATGGCCGTACAGGTTCCTGTAAGTTGTTCCCCCACCCCAAAAAATTGTTCTCTATGTTTTAAACTGTATTCTAATAGTATTTTTTACCGTACGTATTTATATACACTTATATGTTACCTACGTTTAATTGGTTTTGATTATATAATTTTTTTCTTCTTGAGAAGACCACTCAGAGCGAAATTAACCAGAGAGAAGAGCTTCAACAGTTTTACAATTAATCACTACACCACCGTGACCTTCAACATACTATAAAATGAATAACCGTAACTAACCTATTAACCAAACAAATGCAGAATTGATATATATTTATATTTATACATTTGAAATAACAATTCAATCGTATCTAATTTTGAAAATAATATGAATTTCGGAATTAAGGAGAATTAGTAGCAAAGTTCAATGATGATGATGTTTTGCATGCCAAAGAAAGAAGTATTTGAATTAAATATGGGATTCCTGAAATTAAATCTACAATTATTTTTTTTTTTCAAAAAAAAAAAAAAAAATAAATAAATAAATAAATAAATAATAAAAACGGTTCTGTATTCTTTTTTGTGTTTAAAAACAACGTTTTTAATTTAGCTCAAAAAACCGATTTCTAAATAAAAAAAAAAAAAAAAATGTCGTAATATTCATTTTTACCGATTTTACACCATAGAGCGTCAAATATCCGCATTTGAGTTTTGGAACTAATTTCTCCTTAATTCGTCGTTATACAAATATCAAAAAAAAAAAAAAAAAAAAAAAATCATTTTCTCTATCCTCATCGTTATTTTTCTCATCTTCTATAATTTCAGTAAAATGCATGTTCAAAGAGGCTGGCGCCAAGGAGGGCATCATCGATGTCCTTATGGCATTTATTTTAGGCGATAATCCCAACAGCGTTTTGGAGAAACTCCGTCTGGAGGGAGCCACCTCAGCCGTGTGCGGTAAAGTTTTCAAAATTGGCGAACCCACCTACAGTTGTCGTGAATGTGGCATGGACCAGACGTGTGTCCTCTGTGTGAATTGTTTTAAACAATCCGCACATCGTTATCACAAATATAAAATGTCCACCTCGGGCGGTGGTGGCTGTTGCGATTGTGGCGATGAGGAAGCCTGGAAAAAGGATCACTACTGTGAAGAACACTTGGTAAGTAAACCCCACAAAACCAAATTTTGAATATTGGAATTTTTTAATCAGTTTTCCAGACTTTTTCAGAGAAGATGGTTTGGAGATTTACCAAATCTTGTTAAAAGTTATACATAGAGTATATATTCGGGAAAAAAGAACATTAAGTCCGAATGGAACAATTTCTTGGGAAATGAAATGCAGACAACTAATGTAATAACATTTTAAGAAATTATTCTAAACAGCTCAGTTTCCCAGCAAAAAAAGTCATTTACAAATCTGGTTACCAACCCGGTTTTTTTACACAAGGGCATGTTGCTCGAAATAAGTTATTAGTTTTTGGCCGCTAACTGTTATATTTTTGGCAATACTGGGTGGAAACAATTCACACATGTTTTGTTGTTGTAACAGCTTTACATGTTTTGTGTGATTTCCGCCAATCCGGTCCTTATTTCAGGTTTAATAAGTAAGCAAATGCTATAGTCGGGTCAATCAAACTTATAATACCACCAAAAAATAGTTTTGCGGGGTATAAAGATTTGGCTACTTTCGCGGGCTGTGTACCCAACAATATTCTGGAATGAGTGGGGTAGGTTTGGCAGGGCAATTAAAGAGGTGTTGTGTATTGTGCGGGCCTGTATCACATGCAGGGCAAACCTTTCGTTCGAACATCTTCATTAATTCGTGCCAAAATCGAATTGAAGCTAATTTTATTATCAAAATTCGTGATCCGCTAAGGAATATCATCGGGCGCTTCATGCATTTTTATACCCTCCACCATACTATGGAGGGTGTATTAACTTTGTCATTCCGTTTGTAACTCCTCGAAATACTCATGTCAGACCCAACAAAGTATATATATTCTTGATCAGCGTAAAATTCTAAGTCAATTTTGCGATGTTCGTCTGTCTGTCCGTCAGTCTGGCTGTCTGTCCGTCTGTCTGTTGTAATCACGCTATCTTTCGAACGAATTGAGATAGAAGGCTAAAATTTTGCACACATGTATATTTTGCCAGTAGGCAGTAGGTACCCATATAACGGTACCTCCCGATATTCGGTATTTTGATGATTTTAGCGACATTATTCATCGAAATTGCTTCAAATTTGGCATTTGAAGTTCGAAATGGATACTACAGCCTAAGACAGAAGATTGTCTGTGCAGGTCCACGTCTTCGTATAGCCCCCATATATCGGCACCTCCCTATATTCGGTATTTTGATGATTTTAGCTGCATTATAAAGCGGAATTGTTTAAAATTTGGTATTTGAAGTTCGTAATGGATACTACAGCTTAAGATAGAAAATTGTCCATGCAGGTCCACGTCTTCGTATGGCCCCCATATAACGGTACCTCCCGATATTCGGTATTTTGATGATTTAAGCGACATTATTCACCGGAATTTTTTCAAATTTCGCATTTGAAGTTCGAAATGGATACTACAGCCTAAGACAGAAATTTGTTTGTGCAGGTCGACGCCTTCGTATGGCACCCATATAACGGTACCTCCCGATAATCGGTATTTTTATGGCTTATGAAAAAAATTACCTATGCAGGTCCATGTCGTCGTATTGACCCTAATATAACGGCTACATTCGGTATTTCTAAAATTTTAACGGATTTTATTGTTTTTGAGAATTGCCAAATTGGTTCCAAATGGTGGAGGGTATTCAAAGTTCGGCCCGGCCGAACTTACAGCTTTTTTACTTGTTATGGTTAGTTTATTGCCATAAAAATGGATGCCACGTAAGTGGCGGCTATTCGGGCTATTGCAACTAAATTCCTCACCAAATTTATATTGTTGGACATTCAACCTTCAGCATGCTTAACATTTTATGTAACGTTCGGGACCTGTCAATTGGTTGCCTAGATCGTGCAATTTAACACCTTTCGACTATTGTTTGTGGGGCTATTTAAAGCCCATGCTCAAGACAACATTGAAACATTAATTTTATTGAGACGCCGACCGAAATATTGAAAAGAGTATACCAAAATTGCACTTAGCGCATTGACCTTTTGCGGTCACCATTTTCATGAAATTAAATTATATGAACAGCAACCAACATTTGTTATTTATCGATTTTTGGTCTCCAAAAATAACCCCTTAATCCGTTCGAATTTCGGACTTTTAAAATATTAGTTTGGTAACCATATTTGTAATAAGTTTTTTTCCTGGGTTGTAACAAGTATCGCTTCTTAGAGTGCCTTAAAGTAACCACTCCACTCGAAGTCCTGTTTGTCCTAATTTGAGAAATAGAAAGAAGAAAAAAAAAAAGAGATTTGAGAAATAATATAATAAGTGAATACTTATCCACGACTAAGTATTAATGGTATCGTCTTCAGACACTTAAACCTTCTGGCTAGCAGAAGAATTATTGCTGGCTTTGTATTATAAATGGTTATTTGCTCTCCCACAAGGCTGTGTATCACATTAATGAGAGTTGGATAGTGGCTGAGTAAATATTCGACTGCTTCAATTTCTTCATCTTGGCAGAGCCTACCATTCATATCACCGCTACTCCATCTAGAAGTCATGGCTCTCACACTACAGTGACTTGTGATGATACCCACACTAAGTTTTTGGTAAGGTTTTGCCATGGAGATGACCGATCTTGTTTTCGTCTCGGAGATTATAGGCCGAATTTTCTTAGGGACATTACATCCCCTTTCATCTAACCTTTTTGTAGGATTCGAACGGAATTTTCCAAGGCTTTTCTGCACAGCAATTGGCTAGTCAGCCTATTTTAAAAGGCTTTTCTCTTAATCCGAAAATGTCAAAAATAATAAAGAGGGGGAACTATTCTTTCTCGATTTATGTTACATTCTGATGTAAACTTACAAAACGCAGCAAAATACGCTCTACTTTCATAATCTGCTGGTGGCCCATTGCATTGCACATTTGTATTAACATTAGATGTATTGAAAAGTTAGAATATGTAGGTCCGATTATTTGGTACGTCCCACAACAGGGGTATACACAACATCTGTTCAAATTCTCAGGGTATATATATGTGACGGAACACCAACTGAAAATTTCCAACGTGTTTTTTTGGTACTCTTAAAAAATCTCCAAACGCCATTCATTAAACAATCCCCCTCTTTGTTCCTTTCTCATTACAGCGGGGCAAGGAAAACAGTTCGAGCAGTACCATCATAACCGATGCCATTAAAGAACGCTGTGAAATCGCTTTTGTGGCCATTCTAACATTTTGTGTCAACTATCTGGAAATAGAGTCGAAAGCTAGTCTTGAATGCCTCGATGGCGATGGCACCGGCAAAGATTATTTCTGCACAGTCCTGTACAATGATGAGTCGCATACGTTTGATCAGGTGATACAGACACTGACGAAAATCGCCAAAGTACAACATAAGGAGGCGACCGATATTGTGGGCAATATAGATCGTGAGGGTCGTGCCGTGGTCAAGTGTGATACATTTTCGGAATGTATAGCCCTGAAGGAGGCGTTTGAAAAGCAATCGGTACCCTCAAATAATCCCATGGCAAATTCGAGAGCCAATCAATCGCTACGTGTCTCTGTCTTGCATATACGTGCAGTGGCCTGCCAGCAATTTGCCCTCCAATTGCTGACATGGTTCCAGGAGTTTTTGGTGCGTCACAGTACGTTCCGTCAGATATTTGCACGTATTGTTACCGACAAGAAGGCGCCGTATTGTATACGTCACATTTTGGAATATGATGTGGCTCTGTGGAAGACGGCCCGCACCTGCTGGCATCGTTTACTTATATCGGGCATGCTCATGGAATACGACAACAAAATGGCCTTGGCCCAAGAGTTCTCCAAGAACTATGCCACCATTGTACAGGATTTCATTAGTGATGATCACGACCATTCGTTCTCCATTGTGTCACTCAGTGTCCAGCTGTTCACCGTGCCAAGTATAGCCCATTATTTGATTGCCCGCGAGGGTATCTTCTACAAGCTGCTGCACACTTTCTATCACAAATCCATTGAGGGTTATATGCAAAATAAGACTTTACAATTTTCGAAAAATGTCTCCACCCTGGGGCACTTTAAGCGGGCCGCCTATATACTCTACGATTTACGTTATATACTGTGCTTCAAGCCGGACTATTGGACCGATGAGTTGCGTGAAGGTTTCCTTGAGGGTTGTAAGGCGATGTTGCGTGTATTGAATGCCATGCAGGGCATGGAATCGGTGACCCGACAAACCGGCCAACATATGGATTATGAGCCGGAATGGGAGTGCGCCTTTAATCTGCACATAAAATTGGCCAATACCATATCCCTGGTTTTGGAGTGGTGTGCCACAGACAAGGAGGTGTTGACCAAACTTTGCGTTATGGTAATGCGTTATTTGTTGCAGAACATGTTTATCATTGGCCAGACCAAGAAAGAAGTGCAAAAGGTGGCTGGCCACTCGGCGGAGTGTTTGATGTATGATGTGGCCTCGAAACCGGTGTCGATACACTTGCCATTGTCGCGTTTCTTTGCCGGTATTTATTTGCACTTGGGTACATATGGTTTGAACTTTGATATGATAACGAGGTTGAAACGGACCCCCGAAGAGATAATGGAACCCATATTGTGTACACAAGTCATGATGGCCCAGGTGAGTGGAGGGGGTGAAATCAATGGTGGGGATGGCGATATAAAAAAATTGTGTTTTTATTTTTGTTTGTTCTCTTCTTTGCAGGTTCATTCCGGCATGTGGCGTCGCAATGGCTATTCCCTGCTGCATCAACTCTATTTCTATCGCAACGTACGATGCCGCACCGAAATGTTGGATCGTGATATTGTTGGCATGCAAATTGGTGCTTCCCTCATTGAGAGCAATCAATATCTAATACATTTGCTCAATAAATTCAATCTGATCGATTGGATTCAGGATGAATATGATGATTATACTGTTGAACCGGCCACCGATGATGATTTCATACGGCAGCTATCAATGATTGATGAATTTCTCGAATTGTTGATTGTCATCATAGGGGAACGTTATATGCCCGGTGTGGCCAATGTCACGGAAGAAGATCGCACCAAAAAAGAAATCATACAATTACTTTGTATTAAATCATATTCTCATTCAGAATTGAATCGGGCATTGCCTGACTCGAATAATGATACTGCCCTGGAGGATGTTATCGATACGGTGGCTGTCTTCAAGAAGCCACAAAAAACCGATGCCAAGGGTGTCTATGAATTGAAGGAAGAGCTGTACGATGATTATAATATGTACTTCTATCACTATACCAAGGAGGATAAATCGAAATCGGAAGAGACACAGCGTTTGCGTCGCAAGACCAAAGGAGAATTGGTGTGTTGTCCACCGCCAAAATTGCCGAAACTTACCGAGGCCTTTGTGTAAGTATTGGGTTGGGAAATTGGAAAACTTTTTTAGGATACCAAGGGGTAAAATATTAAGAAAGGTTTGTAGAGTTGTGTGTGTAGAAGGGTGGTGGTGTGCCTAGCCAGGATATGCTTCTAGCAAACCTATAAATCATGACAGGGATTACATCTGAGAAGAACGTTAGAGTTTCTCTTCTGTCGGCAGGTTATCTACTCCGAAGGTACCAACTTATTTTGCTAGTAGCTAAAATTTGGCGAACTTAAGTGGAAAATATGACTTAAAAGTTAGAAATTAAGGTTTACCTTGTTATGGGGGACTATATCAAAAAGTGGTCCGACATGATCCCATGAAGTAAGTTGAAGCTCTATAGTTTTTTATACCCTACACCACAAAGTGGTCAGGATATTATGTCTTTGGGCATTTGATTTTAACAGGCAAAAGGAAACGAGATAGATCAATAGTACCTTTTGATGATCTGCATAGAATCACATCCTGAGTCGATTAATGCATGTCCGTCTGTCCATGTATTTTTGTAAACTAAGGACAGGTCGCATTAATTGCCCGATTCAGATGAAATTTTGCACAAATCATTTGTTTGACCCAAGGACGAACCCAATTGAAATTGAAGATAATCGGTCAAGATTTAGTTATAGCTCCCATATATATTCGTCCGATTTGCCTATTATTGTGCACCAAACGTGTAATATCTGTCCAAATAGTATCGAATTTTGCACATACGACCAAGTTAGGCCTGAAAATAATTATGTCAAATTTGATCGAAATCGGTTCAGATATAGCCATAGCTCCCATATATATTGTTCATACGATTTGTTATTTTTGTCTTCCGCAGCCGCAGTAATATGCACTCTGTAACAACGATATTTGAGGAAATATATTAAATACAGGCCAGGTATACCTTTGCTAAATGTTTGTCGAGATCGGTTCAGATTTGGATATAGCTCCCATATATATTTATCTTCCTCCGATTTGCCTTTTATTGTGCACCAAACGTGTAAAATTGGCCCGAATGGCATGGAATTTGGCACTTACGACCAAATTGAGCTCCAATATATTATGTCCATCCGATTTGTAAAATGAGTCATCCACAGCCGTGGTATGCACTCCGTAACAACGACTTTTGGGGGTGGGTCGGCCCCACCCCTCTTGAAGACTTTCTTTACTGGTCAAATATTAAAATATATATTGGCAAGGCTAAATAAAGACTCCAAAACGTTGTCCTACGAATCTGAAATTTTTTGTTTTGTGTGTTTTATCTGCAAACAGAGGAATGGCAGATCCACTTGACATTTTTCGCAACCCAGAGTGGCTATTAAACAACGAAACGTAAAGCGAATTTGAAGGGAGTATTAAATTTGTCGAAAAGTAAAAAGGGGCTTTAAAAACGAAATAAATTATATTTTCCTTATGGTATATTTTAGGTATACAAATTTCTTTTCTTCAGAGACTCACATTGAAATTAGATTAAGAATATTTTCTCCTTTGACACTTTTCCTTATAAATGCAGTATTAAGGAAGATTTTGATCTATATTGAAAACGTGATAAATTTGCATAAAAAAAAACTTAGCACATAATTTTCACTTTTACTTTATTAATTTTGAATGTCATTTTCTTCAAAACTATACAACTTAGATAGATGGTAATTTCTGAGATTTATAGTAAAATTTTGTGTAGAATATTTCTTCCTTTAACACTTTCTGCGTAAAACAAAATTTTATGGCTCTTTCATGCACCAATTCAAAAATAGCCCATTTGATTCTCGTGTTTTTTCTCGCAAAATTGAATTAAATATTTTCTGTGTATGTAATGGAAATATAGATTTCTTTTCTTTGGTGACATCATCCTTCGAAAATGATGCCTTGTAGGAGAATTTTTCATGTGGCACACCTCCCGCAAGAAAATATAAGATATACAAAAACATTTGGTCAAATGCTGAGGGTATAGAATGACTAAAACTTGATTTTATAATACTAAAACATTTTCAAATTTGAATTCTATCTCAATTCGCAATTTGTCTCTCCCTGACAACAAAATTTTCTTGCCTCACAATTTTTTAAATCTTTCAAAACCCTGGACTCATTTTTGGTTGTTATATATTCTTTTTCCCTTCAAGCATTCTGTTTTGAATTTATTTAATTATTTTTTTTCTCCCTCCCTTTCTTACCAGGACAATTGCCAATTTGCTGCAATGTGATGTCATGATGCATCTGATGAAAACAATTTTGGATAGGGCTCTCGATTTGAAGAGAAAATCGTTCCAAGAAAACCATTTGCAAAAGGTAGGTAATCAGAGAACATTCATCGTCAAATGTAAGTCTACATCACATATCCCTTACCACTTTTTTCTTTCAGATACTTTTCCTCATCGGCTATGGTCTGCAAGAGGAGGAATCCGAAAATTATCCCTTCTTGCAGTTCTATCAATGGGCTCAGAAATACAAACTTTTACCCAAGTTAGAGGAATTATCACGCAGCAGCCGAGTAAGTTTCTTTGTTCTTATTCCTTATCGCCATTTGTCAGGGTTTTAATTGCATTTGTGTTTTATTATCTCTGTTTGACCCTGCACTAGGTTGAAGCTCATCGTGATTTCATTTTATGGACCATTAAGAAATTCAAAGACCTACAAGCCAAACAACCAGTCACCGAAGGTTTGGAACGTATGCAAAGTGATGATCTTGAAACAAATGCATCGTCGGCTGATGATAATGCCGCCAGTGGTGCTGGTGGTAGCGGTGGCGGTGATGATGCTACCTTGCTTACCTCGGCCGAACAGGAGAAACGTGAAAAAGAAGAACGTGCCCGCTTGGCTGCCGAAAGACGTGCCAAGATTTTGGCACAAATGCAATCGGCACAAAATAAATTTATGACTTCGAATGCGGAAATGTTTGCCAGTGCCAATGATGTGGCCAGTGACACAAATGCTAGCTCAGCCATGGAATGGCAAGATGATAACTGTCTTGAGGGTGCTGTGGCGTATAATTCCACAGCCTGTTTGGGTGTGGAAAGGCGCCTGCAGCAACCCGAAGAAGAGAAATACAATTGCATTCTCTGTTTCGAAGAGGCCACTGTTAGTAAAGAAGGTCCCACACTGGTCTATCCGGCCTTTGTACAAAAGTCCAAGGTTCTTAAGCCGGAATCGAATTATCCCTTTTCGATACACACCAGCAGTTGTGGCCATGTAATGCATGTCAATTGCTGGCAGGAATACTACAACAATGAGGAGTCCAAGGAAATACGTCGACCCAGACGCCATCCCTTGCAAGTCTTCCCCTCAACGCCCAGCACAGAATTCCAATGTCCCTACTGTCGTTGTCTCAGCAATACTGTGCTGCCCCTAACTCCACCCCTATCCAAATACTCAATACCAAATGTATTTCATGCCGGCGATGAAATGTTCCCCATCGATTTGTGGATTGAGGGAATTCGTGTTTTCGGCGAGAAACTTAACAATCTCATATTGGCCGAAGATCCCGATCTGTGGAGTTTCCATTTACCCGAATGGCTACCCACGCTCAAGGAAGCTCACATACCCATCGACCCCAAACAATTTGAAAAAATGGCCCAACCAACACCACGCAGCGAGCTACCCACCAGTTGGATTAATTTCGTACAACACTACATCAAATCGTTGAAACGTAACGAAGACGAAGGCATCCTCAATATGTGGCATTCGTGCGTGTACACCGTACAATCGTTGGAAGTGTATCTGCGCTCCGTTGGCAAACCTTTGAAGGACGAAATGTCCATACGCCATCAGAGTTGTTTGAGTGGCCTAATACGGGCTTGTTGTCTGTACAGTGGTAATCTGACGCAATCCGATATTAAGTACTTGATCAAATCTGTGGCGAAGCTGTTGAATGTTGTGTTCAAGCATTACGGCGATTCAGTGCTGGAATGGAATTGTTTCAGCAAAATGGTGTCGACAATTATGATGGTTCCAAATCTATTGTTTGCCCGAGATCGTAAGTAGATGATTCTTATTTTTCTAATTGCATTTGTTATAATTAGGCGTTATAAAAATTTTAATGATACGATATTCATAGCATTTTAAATTCTAAATTCAATTTGCTTGAAATCCTGTCATTGATATTTCTTTATATGGGACAAATTTCAACTACAGAAGAGCTCGCTTACCTAACGGAATAAATCTCATCTGTAGCTGAATTTGGCACTACTTGTAAAATATCCATAGCGTCTCATATGGGAAATATCACAGAGGTATAATTTATGTTTCATGTATCCCGGATATAGACGAAGTAGTTATACAAGGTGAGACAAAAAACTGCAACAAAGTCAAACGCCATAATTTTAACATTATTTTTTAATTTAATTGAATGAAAGCAAAAATGTCGGAAATAGCATCGAATTTTAGAATAAGTTTAGATTTGTTCGAATTGGTCATCTTTGGCCCGAATTATGGCCTTCAAACGGCCAATGAAACCGTCACACGCTGCCCGAATGTTGTTCTGCGGTCTTTTGGTCCATTCCCGGCAAAGTGCTTGCTTGAGGTGATCGACACTTTTTAGTGCCAACCTTGCTTTCCAAAATACTCCAGACACAATAGTCCAACGGATTGGTATCCGGAGATTATGGTGGCCATTGTGCGCTGGATATGAAGCGAGGAACCTCACTTGGGTGGCGCGTGCTGAGTCCTCTTGGAATGTCCAAGGTCTGCGGCCAAAATGTTTGCGTGCCCAAGGCTTTAATACACCCTCCAAAATATTTTCGCGACAATATTAGGCATTTATTCCAACGCCACGGTCGATTAATAAGAGCGGAGAACGACCATTGGCTGCTATGGCGGCCCACACCATCACCATAGCCGGCGCTTGAGTTCTGGTGGCCAACCGAAGGTGCACATTTTCAGCTGACCTCTTTGGCAAGTAAACACGATCATTTCGTTTCTTTACAAACTGCTGTACAACGGATGTTTTCTTATCGGAGAAAACCAAATTCGGCAGTTCACCACTTTCGGCCAGGCGAAGCAACTCTTTAGCTCTTTTAGTAACTTTATGTTGCGGTGTAAGTTTTTGCACCATTTGGAATTTCAATTGCTTTACCCCGACCTCATTTTTCAATATTTGCCGAATGGAATATTGCGATGTGTTCAGCTCACGAGCCATTTTTCGGCCACTGCGACGCGGGTTTCGATCAAGTCGCTTCTTTAATTTTCAAACCATTTCTGCTGATGCTGCTGTTTTCTTCCATCCACTTCCTTGACGTGGTACGACACACACAAAAGATTCATTCATATTTAAATGCTGGAGTGCTCTAACGATAGCCACTTATGCCAAAATCCTTTTGTACGCTTGTAAACAATATAATGAGCTGTCACTGGAATAATTTTAACAGCTATTGGACTAGTGGCTTAGAAATGACAGCAGTCTGAAGTTGGTTGCAGTTTTTTCATCTCACCGTTTAATAAAGTCTGTAGCGTCGCCAACTACTTGACAGCCCGGTGCAGTCACAATCATTTCACTCTAAAGAAGACCATGTGGTAAAAAGTTCGGCCGTTGTTTTATTAGGGGCAGAGTGTAGACTTCGGGAACGATATGGCATTGCTAGTCTAAATGTCTAGTGGCATAATATGCTGAGCGCTTCTGTAGGGGAAGTAGTTTCCAATCTGGCGAGGACGGTTCTGGAATTCATTTAATAGTTAGCATATTTTTGACATTTACTGATCTGAACTAAAGGTATTTTTATTTAACGCTACTTATCTGTTGTATTTCGAACCTTTCTTTCCTAGAGGGACGAGAACAGACCTCCTCCGAAATGACAACTATTCTGACTTTTTTGTTCATTGTACGTGGAATAATTATTTGCCCTAAATAGTATCGATACGCATTTTATGCATGTCCCTGCTTTTGTATTGAGCCCTTGGACAGTGAAATCAGAATGTCAGCACTTTCAGACAACGAACTAAGACTGCCTCATTCGATAGGTGTTGTTTTGTTGACTCAGATGTAACCAATCGATGCTTTTCTCTTACTTTGGGCCTTTCGAGCTTTTGGCTCCTGCTATTCTTCTAACATCGATCTGGCAGTTGTCTGAGTTAATAAAAAAATAATAAAAGGGAAATGGGAAATTAATGCATGGAATTGGATATGGATAAATATTTTCTCATTGGAAAGACGCAGCTTCTTCTTATAGAGGGCTCAAAAAGCTTTCGTCCAGAATATCACTTTCTTATTGGAGGCTGCAAGGCGTTTTATATGTTTTGTAGGATAATTTGTCAAAAGCTCTTCTTCCAACATATCAAATTGCGCCACTGAGCCATGTCAATTGGTTTGCCCACAAGTCCATGGGACGAAGACTGCTTGGATTTTGTGGAAAATTTGGCAAATGCGAAGTGTCGCAAGGGCATTGTAGACAGGAAGCGCACGTCATACAATTTAACGTCGCTGTCTTTAACTCCAATTTTTGGATATCAGAATTATACCTCACCCAAGTAAGGCTACAGGTTGCAGCACTGAAATGCAATAACTTGTTAGCTTCCTCGAATTATCAAGCTTCGAGTCTGTATTAAAAGACAGTCGAACTGAATCAGCGAATGTATAGTTTCTCGTTAATTTTTTTTGAACCGAATTAACTTAATTTAATTTAACTCTTCCCCATGAAATTATAAATTTCCGAACTAAAAATAAAATAACGGGTTTCGGCAATATTTTCGATAACAATTGGAGAATTATTTTTCAGCCCCCAATTGAGTCACCAAAGCTGTCTTTTTGGTCCTCTTTTCAAATTAGTACTAAAAACTCCCTTTAAACGCAGCAAGTTAATATATTTTATAAAATTATTTGTTATAAAATTCTACTATAGGTCCCAGAATACATGAAAAGGAAGACCTTGGATATAGCAAGACCTCATGATATTCTACATGAAATCATTCTGGTCTTTCATAGAAGAAAATTCTGACTTTCAATGTTCATTTACATAAATGCTTCATATAAATACATCCTGGCTTCTGAATAATAACCTCTTGGTCTTCCTTGGTCTACATTTTGATCGTTAATAAAATCGGAGACTGCATCAGTATGAATGCTATTCATACCTCTCTGTTAGGCTTCCTAATCTAGAGGTTCACCTAAGTATCGTTGGACGTTTCTCTCTAGATCATGCAGGTGCCTCCTGACACCGATGATTCACACGCTGACACCCAATCAGATACATAAACGAAAGGATATGATTATGCTGACATGGGGGAAGAACCTTAGCCTCCTCATGTAAATGGTCCGCTGGAGTCATAAGAAAACAATCCTACGACGGTAATACCGAATTGACCCGAAACAAAAACATCTTTGTTTCGGCCAACGCCTGCCAATTCAGTACATATATGTTTGTATTTGGCATTCTTGCCAAATTCTACCTTGTATAGGGATATCTTCTGATATTCTATAGCAAGTCCTTATATTCAGATATTGTTTGTCCTTCCTTCAGTACAAATATATGTTTCAAAAAAAAAATAGGACTATTTGTAGTAACTTAAGTAAAAAAAAAATCATTTTAAACTTGTTTTCATATTTTCAGGTGATGTATCGGTTGTGCCCAATGGCAGCTTAATGGATTTCTATACGCTACAGGTCTTCTTGCTGGCCAATGTTGTTAAATCGTTGGTATTATTTGAACAACCTGCCGAGGGTCTTATGGACATCGAAGAAGAAGATTATGTGGCCATCAGTGATAAACAATTGGAAAATATTTCCACATTCTTTAACAAATATAATATACAGGCCAGACAAAAGGCGGCGGTGGCGGCAACAGCAGCTGCAGCGGCACAACGACAAAAGAAGACAAACAATGGTAATGATAATGGGGAGAGTAAACAACAGCAGCAGCCACAGAAACAACAGTCATTGGGCGATAATAATGCTACGGCCTCTGCTGCTGGTGTTGCTGACAACAACGATGAGGAAGATATGATGACAGATAGCACTCAACAAAACCAGCTGCAACAACAACAACAAGGGGAACTACAACAGGAAGAGGAAATCACGGAACAAAAGTTGGCCTTGTTAAGTCCCCAATTGGTAACAGCTCTGTTGGATCACATAAAAATGGAAATGCGTGAATTCTTGAGATGTTCCTGTTTATTTTTCCACTTTGTTACCGATGTTGAATTTCCCGATTATTTGTCGACCAGCGAAAGTGATACCTTTGAGAATATGTGTAAATATTTGGGTTTGAATAGCCAATTGGAATCGTACTTTGACATGGCCACACCTTATGCCACAATAATGGAAATGTTTGCCTCGCATCATGATATTACCAATTTAGAAGTGGTCACCACGAAAATAAAGAAAACCGGTGATCCATTGGTCATTGTGCCGTGTATACGCCCAGTACCACCCTTGGTTAGTTTACCCGAGGATTATAGTGATCTAATAAACAGTGTATCGGACTTTAGCTGTCCCAACAATGAGCGGGAGGAGATGAAAACACCCACCATGTGTCTGGTGTGCGGTGAGATATTGTGTGCCCAATCGTATTGTTGCCAACCGGAGCTGTATAGCCGTAATGTGGGTGCCTGCACCTATCATGCTTACTTCTGTGGCGCTGAAATTGCACCATTCCTGCGTATACGTGATTGCCAAATTGTCTATTTGGGCAAGAACAAGGGTTGTTTCGTCCAGCCACCGTATTTGGATGAGTATGGTGAAACGGATCAGGGTCTGAGACGTGGTAATCCGTTGCGTTTGTGTCCAGCGCGTTATAGTAAAATACATTTGAGCTGGTTGGGTCATGGTTTGCATGAAGAAATTGCCCGTCTCAATGATCACTCGTCGGCCATAACCACACAATGGCATCATATGTAGTTTAAGAGAGCGAGAGTGAGAGAGAGAAGAATGATGCTGGCGACAAGGCAAGGATGAAAAAAAAGAAGAATGGAAATGTTTCTTAATTTAAAGGAAATATTAATTAATAAATAAATATAGAACGTAAAAAACAACAACAAAAAAACACAACAGCAGTTAATGTGATTTAAATTAAAAATAAATAAACAAACAAACAAAAAGCTAGAAAACAACAGAAAACCACATTTGATGAAACGAAACAAAGAAATGCAAGCAAACACAAAAAAAAACTTAAGAATATTATTAAAACAATTTATGTTATTTTAAATAATACTAATTATAATAATAATACTTATGAGATTGAGAATATGGAACTTTTGAAACATACAAAAAGAAAAATCCAAACAAAAATATCCCTCCTCTTTATCTAAAACAAAACAAAATAAAACGAAACAAATCTTGATTAGATTTCACATGGAAATTCAAACAAAATAGCAAACAAAAATATAAGAAAATAAGAAAAAAGAATTAGGTTACGAGACTCTAAATGCATTGCTTGAATTAAAAACTTTATATGGGCCTTCACCATGGGTCAAACAGAAAAAGTCAGGTTAAGGCAAAGCTTTTGTCATAACCCCTTTTTTGCTCAGATTTTCTTTGCCACTTCAAGTTTTATTTTTAATTTTGGCAAAAATACTTATTTCGATTGTTTCCAATGTATCTTTGTTTCTCTCTCAGTTATTTAATTAACCAACTTAAAAAGCTTTACAACTCCAAGCAAAAGAAAGAAAAGAAAAAACAAAAACAAAATCAAATCAGTCTTGTAGATTGGTATTACCAACACATTACTTGCATAGTTTTAACTAAATGCTATTGTTTTCTATGAATTTACTAGGGTTATATACAAATGTTTTTTTTTTTTTTTTTGCTTTGGCACATGTCATTCATTCATCACTCAAGACATCTCTCATCCACAGAACGTGTTCATCCCCTATACATTATTATACACTTCGAATCCATTAGAAATTCAAAATAATGTTAAACGTGACTCATTTCGTATCCTCCATCCATCATATTTTATGATTCGCCGCCTAGTTGTTATGTATATTTTTTTTTCAAATTCGTTTTCTTTTCCCAAAATTTAAATTGAAATTTTCAATAAAAAACCACAAAACAAGCTCTCTCTGTTACAAATTGTTGTATATTTTCTTTTCGAATTTTTATTCGTTTGTTAGGGATTTCGTTGATACCATCTGCCTTCCACAGAACTTAAACACCCTCAGCACCCCTCCCATCCCTTTGCAATACTCGTTTGCTCATTGAAAGAGGGTCCTTCGATAATGATAATATCACACTACTTAGAAATTTAATTTATTTGAATTACTCTACTTCTGTAATACGTACTACTACATAATAATAATAAATATTATTTTTATTTTATATATATTATTATTTTTTGTTTATTTTTAATAAATATTAAATGTAATTTACACACACAAAAAAACAAAAACAAAAATGAAAAACAAGAAACCCCAACAACAAAACTTCATTATAATCATAAACAAAGAAAAACTTAAATAAAATGTTTGTTTAATAAAAATTTAAATATAAAATAAAGGAAGAAATGTTTTTTTTTTAATATAGTAGTGTGAGTATGATATCATAAACATTGGAAAATCTTCAAACCTTGAAAAATAATCTGTAACGATATTGATTACACTGTGCACCACAAAAAATAATTGCAAGGAAAATCCAGCAGATTATGAAAATGGAGCTAAAAATAGCGGATATTTCTATTGGCGTTGTGGAAGTTTACATCACAAAGTAACCTAAATAGAGGGGAAAAGTTTCTCCCTCTTGCAAATTTTTTTTAAAATTTTCGCGTTTAGACTTCTTGAAATCTGTTGATTTTAAGTATATAGAAGATTTTAGCCCTCAAGCGAGTCCACACAGGGGTCTTTTTTTGGTACCGTGATTCTAGTAGCGTAGCCCGACATCAAGGAAATGGACGGAAGAAAACATCAGCAGAAATGGTTCGAAAAGTAAACAAGCGACTTGATCGAAACCCGCATCGCAGTAGCCGAAAATTGGCTCGTGAGCTGAACATATCGCAATATTCCATTCGGAAAAAAATGAAAAATGAGTTCGGGGTAAAGCCATTGAAATTCCAAAAAGTGCAAGAACTTACAACGCAACAGAAAAAAAAAATAGATTTTAAAGAGTCCACGAAACGGATTCTTTAAATAATCCAAGATTGGTGCCCTGATAGTCCTTTGAAAAAAAAAATATTTAAAAATTCCAAGATTATTGCTCTGATGGTCCTTGCAAAATGTTACTTAAAAAATGCAGGGCTATTACTCAGCTAGTTCTTGAGAAATATTCTTTAAAAAATCCACGATTATTGCTATATTAGTCCTTGAGAAATATTCCTTAAAAATCGACGATTATTGCTCTGATAGTCCTTTAAAAATCCACGATTATTGCTCTGATAGTCCTTGAAAATATTCTTTGAAAAATCTACGACTATTGCTCTGATAGTCCTTTAAAAATCCACGATTATTGCTCTGATAGTCCTTGAAAATATTCTTTGAAAAATCTACGATTATTGCTCTGATAGTCCTTGAAAATATTCTTTGAAAAACTTACGATTATTGCTCTGATAGTCCTTGAAAATATTCTTTGAAAAATCTACGATTATTGCTCTGATAGTCCTTGAAAATATTCTTTGAAAAATCTACGATTATTGCTCTGCTAGTCCTTGAAAATATTCTTTGAAAAACTTACGATTATTGCTCTGATAGTCCTTGAAAATATTCTTTGAAAAATCTACGATTATTGCTCTGATAGTCCTTGAAAATATTCTTTGAAAAATCCACGATTATTGCTCTGATAGTCGTTGAAAAATATTCTTTAAAAAATCCACGATTATTGCTCTGATAGTCCTTGAAAATATTCTTTGAAAAACTTACGATTATTGCTCTGATAGTCCTTGAAAATATTCTTTGAAAAATCTACGATTATTGCTCTGATAGTCGTTGAAAAATATTCTTTAAAAAATCCACGATTATTGCTCTGATAGTCCTTGAAAATATTCTTTGAAAAATCTACGATTATTGCTCTGATAGTCGTTGAAAAATATTCTTTAAAAAATCCACGATTATTGCTCTGATAGTCCTTGAAAATATTCTTTGAAAAATCTACGATTATTGCTCTGATAGTCGTTGAAAAATATTCTTTATAAAATCCACGATTATTGCTCTGATAGTCGTTGAAAAATATTCTTTAAAAAATCCACGATTATTGCTCGTATAGTCCTTTAAAATATTCTTTAAGAAATGCACGGTTATTGCTCTGATAGACCTTGAAACGTATTCTTTCAAAAATTCTCGATTATTGCTCTTATATTCCTTAAAAATATTCTTTAAAAAATCCACGACTATTACTCTGATAGTCCTTGAAAAATATCTTCGATTATTACTCTGATTGTCCTTGAAAAATATTCTTTAAAAAATCCACGATTATTGCTCTGATAGTCCTTGAAAATATTCTTTGAAAAACTTACGATTATTGCTCTGATAGTCCTTGAAAATATTCTTTGAAAAATCTACGATTATTGCTCTGATAGTCGTTGAAAAATATTCTTTAAAAAATCCACGATTATTGCTCTGATAGTCCTTGAAAATATTCTTTGAAAAATCTACGATTATTGCTCTGATAGTCGTTGAAAAATATTCTTTAAAAAATCCACGATTATTGCTCTGATAGTCCTTGAAAATATTCTTTGAAAAATCTACGATTATTGCTCTGATAGTCGTTGAAAAATATTCTTTATAAAATCCACGATTATTGCTCTGATAGTCGTTGAAAAATATTCTTTAAAAAATCCACGATTATTGCTCGTATAGTCCTTTAAAATATTCTTTAAGAAATGCACGGTTATTGCTCTGATAGACCTTGAAACGTATTCTTTCAAAAATTCTCGATTATTGCTCTTATATTCCTTAAAAATATTCTTTAAAAAATCCACGACTATTACTCTGATAGTCCTTGAAAAATATCTTCGATTATTACTCTGATTGTCCTTGAAAAATATTCTTTAAAAAATCCACGATTATTGCTCTGATAGTCCTTGAAAATATTCTTTGAAAAACTTACGATTATTGCTCTGATAGTCCTTGAAAATATTCTTTGAAAAATCTACGATTATTGCTCTGATAGTCGTTGAAAAATATTCTTTAAAAAATCCACGATTATTGCTCTGATAGTCCTTGAAAATATTCTTTGAAAAATCTACGATTATTGCTCTGATAGTCGTTGAAAAATATTCTTTAAAAAATCCACGATTATTGCTCTGATAGTCCTTGAAAATATTCTTTGAAAAATCTACGATTATTGCTCTGATAGTCGTTGAAAAATATTCTTTATAAAATCCACGATTATTGCTCTGATAGTCGTTGAAAAATATTCTTTAAAAAATCCACGATTATTGCTCGTATAGTCCTTTAAAATATTCTTTAAGAAATGCACGGTTATTGCTCTGATAGACCTTGAAACGTATTCTTTCAAAAATTCTCGATTATTGCTCTTATATTCCTTAAAAATATTCTTTAAAAAATCCACGACTATTACTCTGATAGTCCTTGAAAAATATCTTCGATTATTACTCTGATTGTCCTTGAAAAATATTCTTTAAAAAATCCACGATTATTACTCTGATAGTCCTTAAAAAGTATTCTTAAAAAAACGCAATTATTGAGCTGATAGTCATTGAAAAATATTCCTTAAAATATCCACGATTATTGCTCTGGCAGTTCATGAAGAATATTCCTTAAAATATTCATGATTATTGCTCTGATAGTCCTTGTAAAAGATGCCTTGAAAAATCCATGATTATTGCTTTGATAGTCCTTGAAAAATATTATTTAAACAATCATATATTAGTGCTCTAAATCTACTTGAAAAATAATTTTTAAAAAATCCACGATTATGCTCTGATAGTCTTTGAAAAATATTCTTTAAAAAATTCAATTCATTATTGTCTTGTTAGTCCTTGAATGGAAATATTCCTTACGAAATTCAGGATTATTGCTCTAATAGTCCTTGATAATTATTTGTTAAAAAATGATTATTGCTCCAATTGTCCTTGAAAAATATTTTTTTAGTCCTTAAAACAGATTCTTTAAGAAATCCACGATTCTTGTTCTGATAGTCCTTGAAAAATAATCTCTAAAAACTCCACTACTATGGGTCTTATTGTCCTTGAAAAATATTCTTTAAAAAATCCAAAAATTATTGCTCTGATAGTTCTAGAAACGGATTCCTTAAAATCTCCTCGAATCCTCGAATTAGTTCTTTCCCTCATCCTTTTATTAAAAATAAAAATTCAAGTTTTATTAATATTAAATATATTTTTATTTTCTTTTATTATAATTTAATATAAAAACTATGTAATAAATGTATATACAGCAGAAATCGTTTTAAAAATAATAATATATATTTTTTATAATTTTTTAATCCTACTTAAAATCTATATAAGTATATAAAACTTAGAATTATTTTTTTTTTTAGAATAAAAAATCGTTTTATATTCTCTTAAATTAATGAATTTACTAGCTACACAATAATTTACAAATATTTTTAACTGGCTTCTTTGGCTCAGTTTTATACAATATTTACAGGTGTTTTTTTTTAATTTATTTTTTTATTATTTTTAAGTAGTAATGAAAATTATACAACAGCGTTTCTTCTTGTTTTTTGTATTTGGACTAGATTAATTGGTGTGTATTGCTGCTTCAGGGAAGAAAAAAATGAGAAGGAAATCTAAAAATACTTCCTTTATATTGATGGAAAGTAATCAATATAAACTTAAGTTTTAGCATATAAAGAATGGAAAGCATTATATTATTTTTAAATATAAAAATATATACTAAAAATACTAATTGTTTTTTGCTTTATATTTAATTTTTTATAAATCAGAAAATTTTAATTTTAAATTGATGCCAAAAAACATATATTTTCATATCTAACTAAAAATAAAGTTTCTGTAAAATTCAAAAACACTCATTTATCAAATATTCTGATTGACATATGGAAAATATTTTCAAGATTACAATTTGAAATTAAAAAATTTATTTTTTTTTTCAGAATATTTTTAACAAGGCCCCTGCTAAAGTCAGCCGGTATGACCATCTGACTACCAAGTTTAATGTCAAAAAATAATTGTGTTTTTAAATTAAAGGAAATTCAAATACCAATAAGTTTTTTTTTTGTCAAACTGTTGTCCAAATTAGTCTTCTTGGCCGTCCTGATATAGGCCTTGGTTTTGAATTCCATTGGAAACCGGGTTTTAATTCATTTGAAAATATATACAATCTTTGCAAAAAGTAAAATAAAATGCATCTATTTAGAAAACAGTGTTTCGAAAAAAAAAACCTTATCAGTAGCTTTTTCTTGTTTGTTTTTTTCATTGCATTAAGGGTGAAATATTTTGCTTTTCCCCACTCCCTTCTCTCAGGGAAAATTCAAAATTATTTCAATCTCTTTTCAATTCTCTCTCCCAAGGGATTAAGTTTTTGTTTTGATTGGATTCGTTTACATGTGTACCGTTGACGCTGTATCGCTGTTAGCAGTTGTTGTTGTCGTCGTCGTCGACGCTGTCGATGAAGATGTTGTCATTGTATTTGGTTTATCCGGTGTCTCCTGTTCATCCTTGCATTGCTCCATGTCAATGACCAAACAGTCATAGGGCGGTGGTGGGATATCGAATTTTACCACACTATCATAGCTGGGTGGCAGTGAATCAACAATTCGCAGGATATCATTTTGGGAATTGATCTGCAGGACGAAATAGAGAAGAAAAGAATGGGATTTGGTTAAATTTATGATAATTTTGATTCAGAAAAAAATACAAATTTATAATTAAGGAATATTGCGTAAAAAGTCTTTGAATGTATTCCTTAAAAAGACACTCACCGGTAGTCTTTGCAAAATATTCATTGAAAAACCCCACTTAACTCTGATAGTCCTTGAAAAAAATGTTTTAAAAAATCTACGGTTATCGGATTGGATATTAAAAAGTCTTTGAAAAATATTCTTAAAGAAAACCATGACTATTGCTGTGATAGTCCTTGAAAAATAATCCTTACAAAATTCAGGATTTTTTTTTTGATAGCCCTTGAAAAACTTTCTTTAAACAATCCACGAATATTGAAAAATAATCTTAAAAAATACATGCTTATTGCTTTGATATTTCTTCTTCTTCTTTTTAATAATCCAATACTATTGCAAGGATAGTCCTTGAAAATTGTCCTTAAAAAATCCACCATTATTGCTCTGATATTCCTTGAAAAATGTTTCTTTGAAAAGCTTTAATGACACTGGGAATCCTTGGAAAACATTCCTTAATAAAATTCACGAATATTGCTCTAATAGTCCTTGGAAAATAATAAAATAATTCACCATTGCTTTTCTAGTAGTAGTTGAAAAATATTTTTAAAAGAATCCTCGATTATTACTCTGATGGTCCTTGAAAATATTTTTTAAAAAATCCAAAAATAATGGTCCTCGAAAATGATATTTTAATTAATCCAGGATTATTGCTTAGATAATCCTTGAAAAATATTTTTTTAAAAATCCACGAATACAGCTCTGATAGTCTTTGTAACAGATTCTTTAATTCTTTAAGCGATGCTTTAAAAGCCCGAATTATTGCTCTGATAATCCTTGAAACTGTTCTTTAAAAAATCCAACATTATTACCTTAAAGTCGCTGAAAAATGTTTCTTGAAAACCCTAAGTGACTCTGAAAATCTTTGGAAAATATTCCTTAATAAAATTCTCGATTATTACTCTGATAGTCCTTGAAAAATATTTTTTAAGAAATTCACTATTTTTGCTCCGATAGTCCTTGAAAAATATTCTTTAAAAAAATTCACGATTATTGCTCTTGAAAAATATAGTTCTTGAAAAATATTCTTTAAAAAATCTACAAATATTGCTTAGATAATTGTCCTTTTTTTAAAAGTCAAGGATTATCGTTCTGATAGTCCTTGAAGATATTTTTTTAAAAAATCCACGAATATTGCTTCGATAGTCCTTGAAAAAGATTCTTTAAAAAGGTCGACGATTATTGTTCTAAAAATCCTTGTAGAAGATGCTTTAAAAGATCCTAAATTATTGCTCTGATAGTCCTTGAAAATTTTTCTTCAAAAAATCCACCATTGTTTCCCTAAAATTCCTTGAAAAATGTTCTTTAAAAAATCCAAAATTACTGTCCTAATAGTGGCCATTTTTACTCCGATAGTCCTTGAAAAATGTTCATTTGAAAAGCTTTAATGATTAAAGCTCTAATGACTTTGAAAAATAATCCGATAGTCCTTGAAAAATGTTCATTTGAAAAGCTTTAATGATTAAAGCTCTAATGACTTTGAAAAATAATCCTTAAAAGAATTCACTATTGCTTTTCTAATAGTCCTTGAAAAATATTTTTAAAAGAAATCACGATTATTTCCCTGATGGTCCTTGAATATATTTTTTAAAAAACCCAAAAATCGAACTATTGCTCTAAAAGTCCTTGTAAAACATTATTTAAAAAATTCCGAATTATTGCTAGTCCTTGAAAATTGTTCTCTAAAAAAATCCAACATTACTGCACTAATAATCGCTAAAAAGTTGTTTCTTTGAAAAGCCTCAAAGACCCTGGAAATCCTTAAAAACATTCTTTAATAAAATCAACGAATATTGATCAAATAAATCCTTGATAACGTCTCTTATAGTCCTTGACAAATATTCTTTAAGAAATCAACGATTATTGTACTGATAGTCCTTGCAAAATATTCTTTACAATTTCACAATTATTGCCCTGATAGTCTCTGTCAAATATTCTTTAAAAAATCTGCCATTTTTACTTCGATAGTTCTTGAAACAGATACTTTAATAAATCCATGATTATTCCTCTGATAGTCCTTGGAAAATATTCTATAAAATATCCACAATTATTGCTCTGATAGTCCTTGTAACAGATTCTTTTTAAAAATTCTATGACTTTTTGTCTGATAGTCCTGGAAAAATTGTCCTTAAAATCTACGATTATCGCTCTGGTAACCGTTGAAAATACTTTTTAAGAAATAAACAATTTCTGATCTAATAGTCTTTAATAAAACTTCTATATTACTCTGTTAGTGTTTGAAAGATATTCTTTGAAAATTGCACGATTATTGCTCTGACAATCCTGGAAAAATATTCTTAAAAAAAATTAACGATTTTTGCTCTGAGAGTCCTTCAAAAATATTTATTATAAAATCTGCGATTATAGCTCTGATAGTCCTTTAAAAATACTTTTTAAACAATCCACAAAATTTTGTCAGATAATCCTTGAATTTTTTTCTTACTATACATTACTCAGTAATTTCGCGATATTACCTCTGCTGTCCTTTGAGAAAATATATCAGATCCTTGTGCTCTTTTTCCTTAGTGCTCTTTTTCATAAAAAAAACTATCTTTATGAAAACCCATAATTTTGGAATAGAGGATCGGATGGCGTATGAGTATTGTCAGCAATTATACGCCGGCATGAAATGTTATTTAGTATTTTTATATTTTTGAAACATAGTTATCTTAGTCAAACGATATATTTCGATTAACCCAAGTTAAGTTAACTTAGTCTCGAAAAGATATAATAATTCTAACGCTATGGCGTATGAGTGTTGGTAGTATTTATACGCCAAAATGGCAATATGAATATGAATGATTGTATATGCATTCAAAATTAAAATAAGAAAGCCTTGCTATTAGCTTTTCCGTCCTTGATATAACTAAATATTATTGTTTTTTCCCAGCACTCATATGCCGAAATGTCGAAATTGATCTAAATGATTGCATATCCGATTCAATCAATTAATAACCTTTCCAATTTACATTTCCTTACTTTTCATAACTATACATTTCCAAAATTATAATTTTTTTTCAGCTCACCACTTTAATACTTATACGTTTGAGTGTTGACAGTACTTATACGCAGATATGATAATTGATTTTTATTCGTACACTAGATTAAAAAACTGAAAGACTGCAGATTTCATTTTAACGCTCCTGAAACTGACTATGACTGACTCTCTTAGCTCCTATAAAATCACTTTAAAATTTATAAATTAATTAAGGAGGTATATTTTTTTTTATAAATTTTAGTAATTTTATAGGGGCAATAGAGCAATCTTTTAGGTTTCGAAATCTAGATTTAATTTTTTCCCACGGCCTCTGAAAACATATATATTACCATTAGGCATTTCTTCATTTGTGACTTTTGGGCGTATGAGTGCTCAGAACACTTATACGTCGAAATGGCAAACAAGATCTGAAGCATTTGCATATCTTTTCAATATTAAAATTAGCAACACTTCCCATTCGTATTTTCTTCCATTTCATCACCATACATTAATTTTTTAATAATCCTAAATCATAATTGCTTTTTTTTCAATATAAATTTTTAATACTGAGACGTATGAGTGTTGACAGGACTTATACGCCGAAATCATAATCATAATTGATAATAATTTGTCACTAGTTTAATAAACTGAATTTTGCGAATTATAATCTAATGCTCCCGAAACTTCCTCTGAATTTTTTTAGCTTCCTCAAAATCTCTAAAAATTAAAAAAATAAACATATTATTAAAAAAATAAAATATTATCTCCCATCAAGATTTTTTAGTTTCCATGTCCTGTTTTTGTATTTTCTACTCCCATTTTAAAAATCCTATCTAAATACTAATCCTTTATGTTTTTCATGTTTTGAATCTTTCATCATTGAATCTTTTTTATCTGACTCTTGATCGTATGAGTGCTGACAACACGTATACGTCACTCTCCATAGCCCATACATTTTAAAATACACTTTGAATTGAAAAATGTTCATTTCACAAGGAGACTTTTTACTTACTTCTCCTATCTACAATATTTCACTAATTTTCTATTTCCCAACAGATTCTATTTCACCCACTCACACACACCCACACAATGAACACTATTTTTTTTCAAGACTTTTCACTTCAAATTACTTACATGTGTTACACCTCGTCCATTTGTACTGCCACTGCTGCTGCTGCTGCCCACACGATTACCCGTCTCATCAATGGGTCCCGCCCAAATGCAGACACCCATGCGATGCGTTACATAGCCACAAATGATTACACTAACAATTAGCATGCCAATGCCCAGTGCAAAGACCAGCCACCTACTCTCCGGACTATTGGCCATATCGTGCAGATTCTTCTCCAACTGTAGGGCACACAATATCAGTATGGGTACCGCTATCATGGCCACCAGCAGATCGATAATTGGTCGCTGTTGATTCATTCTGTAGATGGTGGGTTGACTGCTGGTCGAAACGTCAGAGGGCGCGTGTGATGCCGTCGCAATGCCGGAGGTAATTGTGGTGGTGGTGCCGGTGCGATTAACGCTTGTCAGTGTTACAGTACGTGTCTGGATTCTGTTGTGATTTTGCAGTACCATGCTGTAAAGAGAGAATGCAAAGAAAGAAAACAGACGTCAGTCAAATGAGAACTATTAAAATGCAAATCATCTTGAGAAGGTTGTATAAAGAGAGGTAGGGAGGGGGGATGAAGATAACGTTTAGGGTTTAGAAATTAAAAATAGCTGCAAAACGTTTGTAATTAAAATGCAATTACTTTTAACCCTTAGAAAGGTGGGTGGTACACCAAAAGGGCCATTAAGGAATTTTAATGGGGAAATTTGGTTATCAGGCGAAATTATATTCCCCAAATGATGGCGCTTATGATCAAACATAAAATGTTCTCTTTTGGTCAGATACAGATATTGAAGTTATAGATCTAGCCACAGATCACTTCCCAACTTCTCTTCCATTGATGAAAGGGTTAAACAGGGTTAATAGTGTTTGTCAAGCTTGCGATGAGTCTCAGTGTGTTTGCTAATTACGTTGTGGCAAAATTTATAATTTTGTTGCCAAGATCACGTTTAGTTATCACCTGAGCGGTTATGGTCATCATTCATCATTTAGCCATATGGCTGTTGTTCCGTCTCTCTGTCTGTCTGCTTGTCGGCCTTATTTGTGTATGTGGCTTGTCGTCTACAATTGTCATCGTCATGTGAGGGCGTGTAAGAAAAACTATCGGTCTCCATTTGTTGATTTGTGGGAATGCGCAAATAATTAATTATTTGTTGATAATTTATTCATTGTTTGCAGCGGTCTTTTAGTGCCGCATTTGTTTACCCAACAATGGCAATAACAACAATCATTCAAGAATTGATTTCAAATCTTTTGTTTTTATTTTTTGTTGTTGTTGTTAGTGATTGAATTTTAATGAATCGAAATTGAGATTATTCGTTCTTCGTCTTTGTTTTAAGTGGGGGAACTACTTTATGTGTTTGGTGAGGCGATCCCCCTGTCTGGGTGGTTTTGCAAATGCGAAGAAAACTGTTGTGATTTTCAAAGAATTAGATTTTTTAACTTGAAATTTCGAATGAAAATCGAAGTGGTAGAGCTATAAGTTTTATAAAATTCGAGAGAAGACTAAAATTCGGATAAACACAAGTTTCCAAATAACCACAAAATTTTTAAAATAAACAAAAAAATCGAATTTAGTTATCCGATCATTGTGGCGTATAAGTGTTGACAACACTTATACGCACTACATTATCAGAACAACTAAACCTGTTTAATTTTCAATTGTTTATTATAAAACCTCCACCATAGTACAGAGGGTATATTAAGTTTGTCATTCCATTTTTAACTCCTAGAAATATACATTTTAGCCTCCACAAAGAATATATATTCTTGATCAGCCTAAAATTCGATGTCGGTTTAGCGGTTCTGTGGAAATCACTCTAGCTTCCGAACGAAATGTAGTAGGTTTATAAAATTTAACTCAAATGTATATTATATCTGCAGGACTTTTGGTATTGAAATTGGGCCATGTAAGTCCACGTCTTCGTATATCCCCCATAAAACGGTACCTTCCGATATTCGGTATTTTTATGATTTTAGCGACACTATTCACCGGAATTGTTTCAAATTTGGCATTTGAATTTCATAATGATTACTACAGCCTATGACAGAAAATTTTCTGTGCAGATCCACGTCTTCGTATAGCCCCCATATTGGTACTCCCCGATATTCGGTAGCGACATTATTTACCGGAATTATTTCATTTGTATTTGAAGTTCGTAATTGATACTACAGCCTATGACTGAAAATTGTCTGTGCAGGTCCACATTTTTTGGTATAGCTCCATATAATAATGCCTTCCTATATTCGTTATTTTGATTATGCAGGTCCACGTCGTCCTACAGACGCTACTATAACGGCTACATTCGATGTATTAAGATTTTAACAGAATTTTTAACGGATTTTATTTTTTTGAAAATTTCCAAATTCGTTCCAAGCGGTGAAAGGTATTCAAAGTTCGACCCAGCCGAACTTATAGCTTTTTAATTTTTTTTTTAAGAATATTTTTTCCAAGCACCACTTTGAGGTATACAGGGTGAGATAAAAATAACTGCAACAAAGTCAAACGTCATAATTTTTACATTTTTTTTTTAATTTTATTGAATGAAAGCAAAAAATGTCGGAAATAGCATCAAATTTTAGAATAAGTTTAGATTTGTTCGAATTCGTCACCATTGACATGAATTATGGCCTTCAAATGGCCAATGAAACCGTCACACGCTGCCCGAATATTGCTCTGTGGTATTTTGGCCCATTCTCGGCGAAGCGCTTGCTTGAGGTGAACGACACTTTGGTATTTTTTAGTGCCAAACTTCCTTTCCAAAATACTCCAGACACAATAGTCCAACGGATTGGTATCCCGAGATTTTGGTAGCCATTGTGCGCTGGAAATGAAGCGAGGAACTTCATTTTGTAAACATTCTGGGGTGGCGCCTGCTGAGTGCGAGTGCATTTATTCTGATGCCACTATCGATTAATGCGAGCGGAGAGCGATCATCGGCTGTTATGACGGCCCACACCATTACCATGGCCGGCGCTTGAGTTCCGGTGGCCAACCGAAGGTGCATATTTTCTGCTGCCCTCTTTGGCATTTGGTTTTTTTTTTTTTCAAACTGCTGGACAACGAATGTTTTCTCATCGGAGAAAACCAAATTCGGCAGTTCACCACTTTCGCCCAAGCGAAGCAACTCTTTAGATCTTTTGGGTCTATTTTGCTTTCTGTTGCGGTGTAAGTTCTTGTACTTTTTGCAATTTCAATGGCTTTGCTCCGAGCTCATTTTTCAATATTTGCCGAATGGAATATTGCGATATGTTCAGCTCACGAGGCATTTCTCGGCCACTGCGACGCGGGTTTCGATCAAGTCGTTTCTTAACTTTTCGAACCATTTCTGCTGTTGTTGCTGTTTTCTTCCGTTCACTTCCTTGAGGCCGTGCAACGCTACCAGTATCACGGTAACAAGCGATGGTACGACACACAACAGATTTATTCACATTTAAATGCTGGAGTGCTCTAACGATAGCCACTTGTGGTTTTCCAGCCAAATATAAAGAAATCACACTATCACGCTTGAATTCCATCACGAACAATTTTTTTTCTGGAAAATTCTCACCAAAATGCTTTTGAAGGCTTGTAAACAATATAATAAGCTGTCACTGGATACATTTTAACAGCTGTCGGAAGAGTGGCTTACAAATGGCAGCAGTCTGAAGTTGGTTGCAGTTTTTTCATCTCACCCTGTATATTAAAAGCATATTTTAAGGTTAAAATCGTACTTTTTGCGAGTTGGTCCAAAAATCTCCAACAAAGCATCATTTCAGAAGGATAACGTCAATGACAAAAATATTCTTTATCAAATTGAACTATAAGTCACCAAAGAAAAGAATTCTCTTTCATCAATGTTCCAAAGAAAACCGAAAATATTTCATTAATTTTTTCTCGGAGTTTTTGAAATTTTATTTTAGGCGAAAGGTGTTAAAGGAAGAAATATTCTACACAAAATTTCACTTAAAATATCAGGATGAGCCATCTGCCTAGGTACTATAGTTTTTATGAAAATTAAATTCAAAATTTTCCTTTTTACCTTTTATATAACACTTATCCAATCCGAGTCAAAAATCTCCCTTTATACTTCGTTTTTTGCGGAAAGTGTCAAAGGAAGATTTATTCTAGATCTAATTTCATTGTGAGACTCTGAACAAAAGAAATGTGTACATTATAATATTTCTGATTTTAACACATTTTGCCTAAAATGAAATTTTATGCAGGCGTAAACTCAAAAAAAAAAAAAAAAAAAAGACCGAGAGAAAAATTCATCTGAAAATTAGGGCATATTTTCGGGGTTTTTTTAGAATATTAATGTAAATATTTTCTTAATACAAAATAAAAAAAAATTTCCTGACTCATGCTTTCATAGGCAAGCCCAATTCAACTGACGCATTGGAAGACAACATTGTACCATTTAATCATAATATACGGGCCGAAATGTTGAGAAGAGTATGTCAAAATTGGACTGCGCGGATAGACCTTTTGGGGCACATTCGGGGTCAACATTTTCATAAAAAAATCTATCAAGTTTAGTGTTTTTTTGAGCATCTTTCCTATAGCTCTTAAAAAAATTACACTATATATGGGTGGATTTTTGATTATGATTTTTTAATTTTTTTTACGATGAGAAATATATATTTTATTAATATTTTTAGAACTAAGATTTTCTAAGTATTTTTTGTGGAGTTTTCTTTAAGAGTTTCCTCAGCCATACCTACCTTGGGTCAAACGCTGTTTGAATCAGCAAATCTCCGGGTAGACTAACGCGCATGTTGATAGGATTTTTGTTGTATTACGAAAATATATTGAAATGTGTTCTAGAATTCAATTTGCATTGCTATTTATAGTTCGCTTTTATTTTCACCTCAGGATGAGTTTTTAATATTTCATTTACTTTAAAAAAAAATATTTTATAATAATAATTTATATATTTTTTAAAATAAATCTGAATTTATCACTTTTCCCCAAAATTTCACTTTAATTATAACAATTTAAATCTTGTGAATTTATCGTTGATCTGAAGAAAATTGTTTCTGCTTTTCTTAAAACAAATTCTCTGTGTTCTAAAAATAAACGTTTTTTTGTTATTATTATTTTTTATTGTTGTTGCTGTCATAGCTTTGAATATGTTTTCTTATTATTATTAATATTTATAGTTATTTACATTATTATTTTTATTTACTTTATTGTTATTGTTGCTGTCGTCATTGTTGTTGTTCAGTTTATTACTCATGTGACAAGTTCAAATATCTAATTGTTGGGAGGATGTCAAATGATTGTTTGGCTAGTTGCGATTTACCCATTGTCTGTCCGCTTACAGTCGTGTGAATTCGCTCAGGTGTGGGTCACACGAACTACGGAATCGTGAGTATTGACAATGTCACAAGGCAGATAATCACTTAATTTTATTTTGACTTTAAATTGAAAATGAAATTGGAGATATGCCTTGAAATGGAGGTTACTTTTGCAAATGAAATGTATT